AAAAAAAAAAAAAAAAGCTGGTTTAAAATCTTCTCTGAGACCGGAGAGTGTGATGGCCACATCGCCACCACAGCCTGTTAGGTATGAATTCTTCTGCTTTCCTTTCCTTTCTTTTCCATGTCCTCTGACCCTGGAACGGCCAAAACCCAGGGTTGGCAACATGAGGGAGGGGAAGCACTAGGTGGGGTGGAGAGCGGTCGCTGCCTTCCTCCTCCTCCCCAAGAGCAGGCTTCTGGCTGCAACAGGCCAGAGTTGGGGGTCAGGGATTGGAGACTATCCTTGAATTGACTGTGTGTTGTGTGGCCTGAAGAGAATAAGCGGACATTTTATTATCTAAGGACGCCCTGAAACTAACTGGTGTGACTTTTTACCTGGAGCTGGGAGACAAAGGGTGCCCCAGAGTGGCTGTAAGGGACCCAAGGGAGCAAAAAATCACCCGGGCCTCTCAGCCCTTGTATTGTGCAGCACCCTGTGCTGTGGCCTTCGCTACGCATCCCACCAAAGCCTACAGAAGGCACGCTTCACCGCACACAGGTGCTAATTCAAGTAACACGCTACTGGGTGTCATGGTCTATCAACATCTCACCTTCTAACTGTCACAGCTCCCCCACTCCTTCCCGAAAATCCAGGCCACACAATCCCAGACTCCTATCCTTGAATATTTATTGCGTACAATCCTTTCAGGTACAGATAGATAACAAAAACCAGCCGAGCTGTTTTAAGTAGAAAAGTATTTAGTGCAGGAATTCAGTGGTGGAAACTGTGGACAGGGCTGGAGGGCCGGGCTGTAGGTGGGGACGCCAGCGACGACTCCTAGAATAGCACTGGCTCCTGGAGCTGCCATGTCTGCTCTAATCAAGATGCTGGGGGAGGGAGGAGGAATCAGCGACTGACTCCAGGACCATCCCCTCCCAGCTTGGATACAGGGACCAGGGTGGCTGCCGCTAATCTGCTGGCTCCAGAGCCATTTTACATTCGATATATCCACAGCAGCAAAAAAAGGTGCCATACGTGTTATATATTTTTTAAAAGTTTATTTATTTTTGAGAGAGACTGAGTGTGAGTGGGAGAGGGGCAGAGAGGGGGAGACCGTGAATCTGAAGCAGCCTCCAGGCTCCAAGCTGTCAGCACAGAGCCGGACTCGGGGCTCGAACTCACAAACTGTGAGATCATGACCCGAGCCGAAGTCGGACGCTCAACCGACCGAGCCACCCAGGCGCCCTAGATGCCATGCGTGTTACATACTCAGTGTCTCCTTGACTCAGTCCTGAATTCACGTGTCTGAACATGCATGTGATTGATGAAACTGAAGTCTTCCAGAGACATGGGTGAATGTGATTTTAGCTTTCCATCCACTACACAACCAGAGAGGCACATGAGATTAGGATACTCAGTGGGCCAATCCACTGCACCTGCTCGACCATGGCTCTTTCTCACTTGATACACGTTTTGACTTGGTGGATTACATGCGCCAGCAGCTTCCCAAAAAAGGATGCATAGCCAGGAATTTTTTGAGAAATTTCATGTCTCAAATGTCTTTATCTTCCTATTTACCTAACAGTTTGCCCTAGTGTTTAATGGTTGGAAATCATTTTCCATTAGAATTTTGAAGACACTTTGGTATTTTCTCCTGGGTTCCAGGGTTGTGGTTAAGAAGTCCATTGCGATCTTGATTCCTACATGTTTGTGTGGAAACGACTGGCTTTTTCCCCCTCTGATCCACTTTTCAGATCCTTTCTTTATGTGTGGTTTTATAAAATGTTACAGTGATGTGACTTTCTCCTTTGCTGTGGATTCCTTCATATGGATACTCTTGCTTTTCCATAACAGGATATTTTTGGTATTTGTTTTCAATTCGAGAATTTCCTTTTCTTCATTCCTTGATTCTCTTCCTAAAATGCCTTCATCCTCTTCCCGAAATGCCTCAAAAGTTGGACGTATCTTCTGATTTTGGATATATCTTCTGATTTTCTTATTATCTCCCTTTCCCCATCTTTTTGTATCTTGGTTTCACTTCTTAGTAGATTCCCTCAACTTTATCTTTCAATCTTTCTGATGAGTTTAAAATTTTTCCTACCAGCCTTTAATTTCCAAAAAGTTTTTGTGGTTGTTGATGCTTTCTGATTATTTTCTTCTTTTTTTTTTTAAAAAAAATTTTTTTTTTCAACGTTTATTTATTTTTGGGACAGAGAGAGACAGAGCATGAACGGGGGAGGGGCAGAGAGAGAGGGAGACACAGAATCGGAAACAGGCTCCAGGCTCTGAGCCATCAGCCCAGAGCCCGACGCGGGGCTCGAACTCACAGACCGCGAGATCGTGACCTGGCTGAAGTCGGACGCTTAACCGACTGCGCCACCCAGGCGCCCCTGATTATTTTCTTCTTATAGCATACTGTTCTTGTTTTGTAGATTCATCATTGTATTATCTCTCTGGTGATATTATTATCTTGAAAGCTTTATTTCAGTCCCAGCTTGGTCTTTCTTTCTCTGACTTCATTTTATTCTGTTTAGTGGCTTGTTTTGGCTTCTGACTTCCCACACTAGGGTTCAGCTTCCTTAATTCTGCTAAGTCAGCTACCATTTGTTCCACTATTTTCATCTTCGGAAATTTGGTTGACACTCTTATCTGCTGACTGCTGTCGACTTTCCTTCTCTTGTGTCCTTGTGGGTTTACGTCTTCCTTTTTTGTTTTGTTTTGTTTTGTTTTGTTTTTTAATTTTTTTTTCAACGTTTATTTATTTTTGGGACAGAGAGAGACAGAGCATGAACGGGGGAGGGGCAGAGAGAGAGGGAGACACAGAATCGGAAACAGGCTCCAGGCTCTGAGCCATCAGCCCAGAGCCTGACGCGGGCCTCGAACTCACGGACCGCGAGATCGTGACCTGGCTGAAGTCGGACGCTTAACCGACTGCGCCACCCAGGCGCCCCTGTTTTGTTTTGTTTTTAGTTCATCTGTTTACTATATCACTCCCTGGGGTTTTGGAAAGGACCAAAGATAAACATACACGTTCAATACACTAGATTTTAAAATGACTTTCATTTGATGTGTGAGGCATGAAGATCCAGGGGAGTGAGGTGCTCTGCCCAAGGTCCAAACACTAGTTTGTGGCAAAGCTAAGTCCTTAGTTCTTCTGATTTAAATTTAAGGTTATTACCTATTTCTGTTCTACCATTCCTTCCCTCCTATCACTAGCACTTGCAACTCTCTGATACTCTTCCTGTATTTTTCATTCATTCATTTATTCATTCATGTCCTTCCCCAACCCATCTTCCATACTGTCTATATGCAATTGCTAGAATCTTGCCCAGCACAGATTAAACACTCAATATTTAATTATTCAATTAATAATGACAAGGTGGGTGACCCATACCGTAGATTTCCTCTCACTTAGGATTATGCTTTTAAGGAAGACAAACTCTTCTCCAGGTGATGGTTGATGAGAGGATTTCAGACCTGTTGACTTGGGGTTTGGGAAGATAATATCTAACCTTCTCTCTTAAAAGGCAGAAGACAGGGTGATTGGCAGCATGGAATTTGAAGACAGAGGTAGGTTTCAGTCTTGAGTTCAAATTCTACTACTACGTCACTTAAAACGTGCATAGCCTCTTCCTCCTTTTCAAAAGTCTCAGCACATAAGTAAATCTGAGTTTTAAATCCCCAGATCATTGTATTCTTTTAATTTCTTCTCCCCCCCCCCCCCCCCCCCCCCCCCCACCCACTCACCATAATTGTTCTGCTCTTTTGGAGTTCTATGGTATCTGTTTTTGAAGAAAGAGGAATTTCTTCCTTTGTTTGCATGGGTAAGTGCTAACCATAT